TAACAGTGCCTCACATGTATTAAGTGCTCAATACATATCAGTCTCCATCCTTCTTGTTATAAGACTGAGAGACTCTAGACACTAACAGAAAAGGCCAAGGAAACTCTATGGATGGCTAAGTAGTGCCAGATGCAGGTCCTCTCTGGGAGGGTAAAACCCAGAGTATGACAGACAGCAGCTGGGAGAACAGATGAGCTGGGCATAACTCTGGACACAAAAGCAACCAAAAACCAAGGAGTGATGGATGACTCCCGAAACAATCCAGGATTGTTTCAGAATACTGAAAGGTGCGCGCTGGGCGGCCAAGGCAGGCCGCAGCAGGTGAGCACCCTGTGGCGGCTCAGGTGGCACACCACTAAAAGCTGCCCTTTCAAAAGGCAAAGGGACCACCAGAACCCAGATGAGTGGTTAGGAGGGTAATTGAGGCCTTCTCACAGGCAATTTTGAGAGCTCGGCAGTTCTCCAAACACCTTCTGCGCTGCCGAGAGATGGGGGCCAAGCACTTCTGGTCAGCCTGGCCCTTGATGCCAAGGGCAGCACCAGGCAGCTATCAGTGATTTATTCTATACCATTCTAGCCCCCAGGGCAGGGCTTTTAACTTCAGTCCACAGTAGGTGAAAGGAGTGTGTATACACGTGTGTGTATTTTTATGGACAGGCTCCAGAGCTCTCCTTAGATCCTCAATGCAAAAAAGGTTAATAACCACTACTCTAAGATGTTCTAATTGCAAATTCTTAAACCCAAAAGGACTCAGGACATTTTTCTCCACTCTCCATCAGATCACAAGCTTCTCCACTAAACTGTAATCTTCTTTAGAACAAAGCCACAAAAATTGTCCTGTGTCTCATTCACTATTGTAATCCCAGGACAAGCGCAGTGTTAAAAAAAAGAAAAGAAAAACATTCCCTGGCCAGGTAGCTCAGTTGGTTAGAGTGTCATCCAAATATGCCAAGGTCATAGGTTTGATACCCGGTTAAGGTGCATACAAGAAGTAATCAATGAGTGCATAAATAAGTGGAACAACAAATTGATATTTCTCCACCTTCCTCTTCTGAAATATAGACACACAAATATATTTTAAGTTAATTGGCATAATTAATTAATTGGTGCTTGTATCCCTTCCAACATCTCTTCTCCAGCTGCTTTTTCTTCTGAGGGGCTTAAAACATTTCAGAATTTCAGCCCTGGCTGGTGCGCCTCAATGGATTGAGTGCAGGCCTGCAAACAAAAGGTTCAATTCCCGGTCAGGGCACATGCTTGGGTTGCAGGCCAGGTCCCAAGCTGGGGACGTGCGAGAGGCAACCAAGGAATGTTTCTCTCCCTCTCTTTCTCCCTCCCTTCCTCTCTAAAAATAAAGAAATAAAATCTAAAACAAAAATTTCTTTTTCAGAATTTCATTTCTGGAAAGTTTCACTGTGGCAATGTCCCAAATTTACTAAAACTCTGAAAGTTTTGTAGTCTAAGAACAAATTTATCTTTGGCAGAGAAACAGAACTCCTTTGCTACAATAAAGAATAAAAAGAGCTCTGACTGGTATGACTCGGTTGGATGGGCATCCACCTGCAGTGAAAGGTTGACAGTTCAATTCCTGTTCAGGGCACTTGTCTGGGTTTCAGGTTTGGTCCCTGGTCAGGGCACACACAAGAGGCAACCAACTGACTTTCCCTCTCTTTGTCCCTCCCTTCCCCTCTCTCTAAAAATAAATAAAATCTTTTTAAAAAAAAGAATGAAAACAGAGATCTGCTGCCTCAAATTTCCTCCCTGCTCAAAGCCAACAGCACATAAGTACAGGCAGAGATACCCATGTTAACCACACATGCAAACACATCAGCTTGGATCAGTCAGCCCTATAAAGGCAGTGACTTGAGGAAGAACTACATTTGATAATGATTAGAAAAATGACCACAGTCTTTACCAAAAACTGAAGATAAGGAATCCTGCAGACACTGCCCATGCTGTCTGATAGGCAATGTTGACACTTGACAGCACTACAAGGCACGTGTTGCACCCCTAGCCACCTCCTCCTCACCACTGGGGCAGCCCAGTGGAAGGCCAGAAGTTGCTGGATTGGATCATTTTTCTATTTTGGGAAAAGCCTATATACTCCCCAGTCTTCTGACTTGTGAAGCCAGAGAAGGCAGGATGCCTGCTCAAAGGAGGAGAAGAAGGCAACATGTTCTCAAGTCTTTCACTGCCAAGATGGGGCCCTGGGCTCTTAGCGTAGTCTTCTCAGGCAAACAGTTCTGTTCTGTTCTGTTCTGTTCTGTAGGGCTAAATGAAAACTGCAAACCCGCCCCAGGGGGTGTGGCTCAGTGGACTCAGCGCGGGCCTGCAAACCAAATGGTTCCAAGTTCAATTCCCAGTCAGGGCACATGCCTGGGTTGCGGGCCAGATCCCCCGTAGAGGGTGCGTGAGAGGCAACCACACGTTGATGTTTCTCTCCCTTTCTTTCTCCCTCCCTTCCTCTCTCTAAAAATAAATACATAAATAACCTTTAAAAAAGAAAAAGAAAACTGCAAACCCTACTCCCTGTTAGAGCAGAAAACTCAACTTGATGTCTATGGTTCTATTTCAATCCAGTTCTACAGCCCATTTTCAACTGCTGCACACAAAACATCCCTGACCCAGGGAGCGAAGAGTTCATACTGGCCTGTTCCCAACACAGAGCTGAAGATGTTGGGAGTGAGCGGCACTGTGGAAATCAGAAACCAAGGATGTAAGTTGCCTGGCAAGATTGCAGTCATGAGGTCGGAAGGAAGGCAAGAAATCAGGAGTCCCACATGACCTAAGAGCGCTCAAAACTCAAAGTCCTTCATAGCCCTTCCAATCCAACACACAATCTTCCGGCCTTTCTCTTCATTCAGATTCCAAAAATCAGAGCCATGAGGGGCTGCAGTGTAGCAAATCCAAATCTCTCCTTTTAAGGATGAAGCTCCTGCCCAAGGTCAGAGTGAAAGGTGACAAAGCAAGGACCTCAGGGCTCTTCCCATAAGCCCTACAGGATTCCTAGCAGTATTCCCCTCTTGGTTTTTCGCCATCTCTTACTCCACCCTTTACCTCCCCAACCCCTCAATTCCCTCCTTCTTACCCCAAATTCGCAAAGCTCGGTGCCCGCCCCAATCTCACTACGCGGCGGACGGGATTCCCCCACGTGCTTCCCTCCAACCCTCCCACCCACCCAATTCCTTCATTCAGCTTCATCCCGGGTTACGGGACCCCGCCCCCTGTTCCCTCCAAAATTGCAATCTCCACATTTGCCCGCAACCCAGCCGCGCACCCAGGCACCGCCCGCCCAGAGGCCCCACCCCTCGCTGTCCTCTACTTCCCTCCGCAGCTGCACTCATGCACTGGCCCCTCTCACCGGTAAAGCCGCTTAGTGTGGAGGACTTTTGCTTCGGGTTCGCTGCTCTCCCCTGTGGCGGGGCCTTGGCTCATGGTGTCCGGGCCCGTGGATGGCTCCCGGTCACAGGCCCCCACCACCCACCGCTACCGCCACTACGGCCGTCTCCGACCGTAGCCGCAGTCGCCACCACGGCCGGCCTTGCTCGGCCGCCATCGCTGTGAGGCGGCTGCCCCCGACAGCTCCTCCTCCGCGTCCCAAGTCTCGCGATAGCAGCTGCACAATTGTGGGCCAGTGGCCTGCTGCCACCAAATCTCGCGAAACTCTTTTTCCCTCCCGGGAAGTTGCCCAAACTAACTCTGGGCAGCATATCCTCTTTCCGGTTTTTTCGTCCCCGTAAGAAAAACTTTATTGACAAAGCTACCAGAGAACGAACAGTGGACCCAGAGAGAAGACTGAAGCTTGGGTGGGGTGGATGCGATCATGAGGGGAGCTAGGATCCTGACTTTGCTTTGTCCTACTGTGGTTATTTAATCCATCATTATGCTCCTCCCAAGTCTCTTTCAGATTACTGGTTAGAGTGATTCCAAGTCTACTTTTTTTCCATTATTTAAACAAACAAAAAAATGTATGTGAAAGTTCTTGTAAAGGGCTGAACATAAGAATAAGACCTTCCAAGACATGACTTATACAAGCGCCTGAGCCCTTCAACTCTCCCTCCCAAAGATTTCCATTCTAGCAAACATTTACTGAACACCCTGTTTTCCAGCCACAATGCTGGGTTCTGGAGACATAAAGATGAGCAACCCAAACACTTTCCTGCCCTAACAAAGCTCAAACGACTTTAGAGGTAAGCCACTCCTTCACATTTCTGCCCCCTGGTCTTCCCCTGGAAAGACTGCCTTAGATTCCTATTGCTTTTTTGACCTTAAACCTAAGCTAAAAAGAAAGGAGTTTGGGGGACCTGTGTACCTGTTGCAATGGAAACATAAACCCCCCTCCCACAACTATGCTCCTGGTTGCAGCCACCAACCTTCTTTCTGTTCCTGAAACAGCCTAAGCCTTTCCTACTCATTGGCTTTTCACTTTCTGTTCCTCTGTCTGAAACATTCATACTCCTCATTTCCCTTCAGGTCTCAGCTCAAATGGCACCATGGCAAAGAGGTTTTCCCTACTGAAACATTCTTTATTGATTGAGTTGCTAGGCTTCTTTATTATCTGTTATGCCAGTGGAACAAGGTCCTCAAGAGCAGAGACCTTGTCTGTCATCTTGTTCTCTCCCCTGTCTGTGCCTAGAATAGTGTCTAATTAATAATAAGCACTCAATAAATATTGAATGAATAAGTGTAGAAATTCCACCTCTTTTCTGGGTATTCCAAACTACTCCAAGTGCCCTTTGATGAACAAACACAATGGGTCCCCTCTCCTTTCCTGAGCTGGGAGCTCCTATACATCCCAATTGCCTAAAACACACGTCTATGCCCAGCTGCACCTCCACTTTCAGAAAGGATGACGTCCTCCTTTAATGCTTTTTCTGTCGGCAGATTCAGCAGGGCAGGGCCTGCCCCTTTAATCTGGGCCCCACCTGCTCTGGTCAGACTGGTTTGGAGACACAGGTAAAGGGAAAGAAAGGAATACTTGCAGAGCCAGCAGGGAGCTGGGCAGCTCATTCGCAGAAGCTGGGGACCCTCTACCTCTCTCCAGATGGAAAGTAAGAGGGTGTCATGGGTCCAAATGGCAAGGAGGCCTTTGAGGAGGTGGAGGGAGGGGGTCAGCCCCATCAAGAAGCAGTGAAATGGAGGGATGGCAGGGAGAGGAAAAAGACGGGAGCAGAGGCATAGAAAACAGCCATGATTGGACCTGGAAGTCAGAGTGCACAGACCTAGGCCCTCTGGAGATGGATGAGGTGAGCTAGTGAGGAGTTTAGAGACTGCCCAGTACCCAGACTGGAGGCTAAAGAATAGGGTGCACTTCTATTGCCAGTTCCTTGGGACAGATTTGTAAGCAAATCACTGGTATCAGTTGCCAGGAGAGTTCCAAGTGGGGATCTGCAAGGAGAAGGAGAGGTTTGAAGGTGAAGGGGGCAGGCTCTCTGTCCACAAGGAGATCCTTAGTGGGAAGGGAGCTCTTAACAAAATCCTAGGCACCTCCTCTTCCTCCCATTCCTGCATCAGGGTGGCAATGACCCTACGGGTTTTAGTGGAGGTGGGTAGAAGGTGTGGGTGGGGACTGGCTGAGGCCACAGCTACCTGGGCCTATACCCCCTGACTCATCCTCTCCTGCTGGATTGCATTTGAGGTTGAAAGGGTGTCTCCATACCAGCTGCTTACTTCCCTCCTGTCTCCCTCCCTTTCAACACCTTCCTCTCTACCATGTTCTCCCTAAGGTCCCAGAAGGGGCTAAATCCCATGAGGCCAGCTGCCCTGGAGAGTTCCAGTTCCATCAACCCATCCTAAGGGCCAGAGGACAGGAGCTTCTGACAGAGCTTTCCTCTGCAAACCTCCTCAGTGACATGACCTCACCGTAGACTCCAGAACTGAGGTCCCAGGATGACAGAACCCGAGACCCTGGCCCTGCTGGAAGTGAAGGGGCCTGAGGCCCTGGAGAAGAGCCCATCCCAGGCCTTGGTCCCCAATGGCCAGCAGCCAGAAGGGGAAAGTGGAGCCAAATCCCCCAGTGCTGAGTCCTCTAGAGTGGGATCTTCAGTTGGGTCTCCCACGGTTGGCGAGGGGGCTGAGGATGGTCTAGACAGCACAGTAAGTGAGGCTGCCACCTTGCCATGGGGGGCTGGTCCCCAGCTCAGTGCCCCATTCCCGGACCCCCCTGGCTGGCGGGACATTGAGCCTGAGCCCCTGCAGTCAGCCCCACTCAGTAAGCTAGAGGAGTTGCCTGAAGATGACGCCAACCTGCTGCCTGAAAAGGCAGTCCGGGCCTTCGTGCCCATCGACCTACAATGCATTGAACGGCGGCCTCAGGAGGACCTCGCTGTGCGCTGTGAGGCGGGTGAGGGTGAGCGCCGCCGGACCTTCCTGCCTTCCCGGACCACCCAACCTGAACCCTCTGAGCGCAAGTGGGCGGAGGCTGTGGTAAGACCTCCAGGCCACTCCTGTAGCAGCTGCAGGAGCTGTGGGGGTCATGAGGGGTTGAGGGCTGTGGCCTCTGTAGGAGCCGCCCTCATCCTCTTCCCCTGCCTACTGTATGGTGCATACACCTTCCTGCCCTTCGATGCCCCTCGCCTGCCCACCATGAGTTCCCGCCTCATCTACACGCTGCGCTGCGGGGTCTTCGCCACCTTCCCCATCGTGCTGGGTGAGCTGGGGCCCTGTGAGAAGGGGGCATCTGAGAGCTGGACTTAAGGTCAGAGCCTAGCTGGCTTGGGGAGCCGGAGAGTTTCCCTTCACTCAACCTGGACCCTCAAGGCCTCGAACACCCTGCCATCCTGTGTGGCTGTCCCCTCCCAGGACCACTGTGTAGAGCCCACACCCATGAGCTCTCCACTACAAACCCTGCCCTTGCTTCCTGCCTATAGTTCTATTTTGACCTTGTGTTCTCCACCCTCCCACCCCCCTCCCAGGGATCCTGGTGTATGGGCTGAGCCTGTTGTGTTTTTCTGCCCTGCGACCTTTTGGGGAGCCACGGCGGGAGGTGGAGATCCACCGGCAGTATGTGTCCCAGTCGGTCCAGCTCTTCATCCTCTACTTTTTCAACCTGGCTGTGCTTTCCACCTACCTGCCCCAAGATACCCTCAAACTGCTCCCTCTGCTCACTGGTCTCTTCGCGGTCTCCCGGTGAGTTGGGGATGGGGCGGGGCACAGGGGAGGTAATGGCGCTGGAGGGACCCAGGTCTGAATGTCTAGACAGCCAGGGACAGGGAGCTCTCTGGATCCTGCACCAGCCCAAATGTGTGCCCTGGAAAGGTGAGTTTGTTTTCTCCCTTGCACCTTACCTTACCTGGCGGCAGGTGATCAGCTTGTATGTCTTCCTCCTGGAAGGTGATTTCAGAAACACACCATCTAGAACTTAAAGGGCTTTCAGGTGCCAGGCAGACCAACCTCTCACCTACTGCAGCCACTCCTCCGCGACAGTCTGGTTAGGCCGCCATTGGCCTCTAGATGAACACCCCCTGTAACCAAGTGCTCAGTTCTTCATAAGACAGTCTGTTTCATTTTTCAAGGGTCCTCATTACTATAGAAGTCCTTATATTGTGCTAAAAACTGCTGCCCTGATTGATCTCTGGACTTGTCAAGGACACATTTGGTTATTTGACAACAGCTCTCAATTGGAGCTCCCTCTCCCACACTCTGTTCCCTTAGTGTTTACTTCACTAAGTGGCCTGATCCCTTCACTGTCCTGTGTCCTTCGCTCAGGCAGGAAATTCTCTTGCTTGTCAAGGGTATTGTCCTTCTGCTCGTACAAACCCAGTCCACATTGGCTCTCATGGCAGCCTCGTTACTCTCCTTTCATTTAGAATTTACAGACACCTGAAATCCTTAGGGGTGCTTTTATATAAACCACTCTTAACCCAGAAGTTACCTTTGCATTTCTGAAGCCAAATAAATGCAGGTCTTGACATTTTTTCCTATAATACATTTCCTTTTGTCATTTGATATATGCCTCCAGGTTGCTTTGACTGCTAAAATACTCTTCCTATCGAGCTAAAATTTGTCTTCCTGTTACTTCTGGTTTGGGTTTGCGGGCTGGCACGCAGGCCACTGAGCCATACCAGCCAGGGCTGTCACTTCCTCCTGTTACTTCTAATTGTAGTCTAGTGGTCTTCTGTCCCTCCACCCTCCTATCAGCCAGCCCTGCATTTTCCTCCAGTAGATGTTTCCCAAGATAAATGTTCCCACTCCCATAACTCTACCTCCCATCTCCCTGGAGGGGAATGCTGGTCTCAGATACAAGTTGGCTTAAGCAGTAAGAATCAACAGGGAGCTAAAGAAGACTCAGCAATTGTCTGGTCCATCTGACCCATTTTATAGAGAGGGAATCATGGCAGATTGAGGGAGAAGAGTCATTCAGGTCCGCAAAAGAGGCAGGACTAGAATCTCTCTCTCCCTCATCCAAGGTCCTTTCTTCTCTACCATGGGCAAGTTACTTTAGCATTTTGTGTCTGTTTCATCATGCATATCATCTATAAAATGGAGTTATTGTGAGGATTATATGAGTTAATTCATGCAGTGTGTACAATAGCCTGGCACTGGGTAAGAGTTTGCTAAATGTGAACTTTTATTATTTTTATAACACGCTGCCTTCTGGTGCAGTAGTGAAACAGTAGTTACTCTTCCCTGTTTAACAAGTAAAAACATATAGGCACATCAATTCTATAAGCTGTTCTTACATATATTAAGAGGAAGCTGCTGCCCTCCTTCATAGGGGTATATATTTTTAGTGGATCTTCCAAGAGGGGTGATTTGGTTGTGGCTTTATTTATCCCTCTGGGCTTTAAGCCCTCTTGAAGCTGCCTTCCTTACTCATGTCTTTTCCTCTGCCTTTCTGAAATAGAATGAGAGGGGGTGATGAACAGGTTGGGTTCAAATCATAGTTTTACTATTTCCCAGATATGTGACCTTGAATCAGTCTTACTTAACTCTCTTGGAATCTTAGTTTCATCTGCAAAAGGGGAAATAAATACAATGGAATGTGCTGCAACTGTAAAAGAATGAGAAAGCTGTTTATATACTGATAAAAATAATCTCCAATATATATAAAATGGGAAAAAAATCAATGTGCAGAATCGGGGGAGAAGGGGAGGAGAACAAATCTTTTTGCTCATACATAAAAAAATCACTCTTGCACAAGAAACCATAATATTGGATGACTCAGGCGGGAGTAGAAGTGGAGTAGAGAGAAGAGAAAAAACAGGGAGTCTGGGGATCAGTAGAGAAAGAAAGGCATTTTACTATATGCATTGGTACCTTTGAATTTTGATCTGTGTGACTGTATATTGCCTACTTGAAAAATTTTAGTTAAAAATTGAATAGTAAATAAATAAAAGCAGGAGAATAACTCACCTCATGGTGATATGGGAAAGTCTAAATTAAATAGTGCCCTGTGAGTAACTAGCAGCGTGCCTGGCACATAGTACATAAACATTTCCTTCTTTAAAAAGTATCAGCCATGTCCACTACCGCCTGCCCCCCTCCCTGGCTATCTGTTCTTCCCACCTTAACCTGCTGCCAGTTAGCAACCCTGGGGGTGGCCTGACCTTTTCTCGCCCTCACAGGCTGATATACTGGCTGACCTTCGCCGTGGGCCGCTCCTTCCGAGGCTTCGGGTACGGCCTGACGTTCCTGCCCCTGCTGTCCATGCTGGTGTGGAATCTCTACTACATGTTTGTGGTGGAGCCTGAGCGCATGTTCACAGCCACCGAGAGCCGCCTGGACTACCCTGACTACGCCCGCTCCGACTACAGGCCCCGCCCCTGGGGCTGAGCAGCTGTCCTGTCCCCAGCCTGGGCACCTGGGCGGGATGAACCCCACTGACCGGACAGGGTCCCATCCGCTCAGAGTTTGGACTGCCCCCCATCTCTCTTCCCCAGTCAGGGCTGCCCTTCATCTTCTGGGCCTGGGGTATTCCTGAGGGAGGGAGGTGGACCAGACGTTTTCTTGCAGGGAAAGAGGTGGATAGCCATGTTCCTCTTGGGTGCTGAGGGCGCTGGGCCAGGAGCAGGAGAAGCATGGTTCGCTCCTGAGCAGCCTCCCGCCACGGCCGCTAGGGCCCGCCCCTGCTGGACTCTGCTCCACTCCCCAGCCTCCTGTGAGGCAGTGGACAGAGCCGCAGCCAAACCTCTGACCATTTCTGTGCCAAAGAGCCTAAGCAGAGGGCCTCACGGAGACTGGAAATATTGGCCATGCTTAAAGATAAAGGCTGGACATCAGATCAAATAGGACTTTCATGTTCCATAAAAATATCCTGGGGGCCTGGATTGAGGACTCTCCATGACTGGCCTTCACAGATCCATTAGCCTCGGTTGAGACTATTATAACTGCCCCAGCCCAGAGCTGCCTCCCTTCCAACCAATTAGGTCCCTGTAAATTCCCACCTCCAAACTGCCCAGAAGAGCAGGCAGGAAAATCTGCCTCCCAAGAGGGGAGGGTGTGTGTGTGTGTGTGTGTGTGTGTGTGTGCGCGCGTGCATCCGTCTGTTTGCGCCCATGCATGTGGTGGCTGGGGAGGGGTTGAAAGGCACAATGGCTAATGTTAACTCCATGTGATATGTGTGTGTGGGTGGGTGTAACAATAAATGACTACAAGTCTTACTTGGTTCTTTCTTCATGTTTGCACCCTAGTCTCAAGTGTCCCTTCCTTGTCTGATTCATAATGCCCCAGAAGCCTCCCTGCTGCACGTGATCGAGAGTGGCTGGCAGGGATCTCAGTCTCATGTTAAGACAGAGAACTGGACCTGGTGAGAAAACGGGCAATATGCAGAAACCTGACTTCCACGCCCATCTCTTGGCCTTCTCATTCCCTGGAATCAACCCAATAACACACACAGAGAGGCAAGCCCTGTGGAAAAAGTAAGTCTATTTCATGCCCACAAAGGCAGCCACCAGTCAGAAGGCTTTTCATTTCAGCCTGTAAGTCCCATCCAAGAGAAATGGGGGCTGGAGGGACAGGGAGGCAACTCCAAGGGCACCCTTTCTCTAGCAAGAACCCTCTCCCTGGTCCCTCTCCAGAGTAGGAAGGAAGCCCAGCCTGTGGTGCCCAGGACTTGAGGCTGGTCTCTGACTTTCTGCAGTAAAGTGAGATGGGAGAAGCTGGCGGGGAACACCGCCTCTCAAACCTGCAGAGGTCTGAGGCACGGCACACAGGTCCTGTAGTGTCCTTCCCTTTAAAGAGTGGGTTTCAATTTATGGGCTGGTATTCTGAGGATCTCTTGAGGCCCAGCAGCAGAAACAGACCTCCAGCCAGCAGCATGAACCCTGGAGCACCCAGGGCCACCACCATGATTCCTAGGACTAGTGGTGACAAGGAATCCACTGGAGGGGTACCCACCCCCAGGAGCATCGACCTAGAGCAAGCAAAGAAGAGAAGTAAGCAGGCTTAAGGGGGAAGGCTGAGAGGCCCAGCCCTCCTCCACTTCAGCCTCCTGGACCCTTGGCCCTGGACCTGACTCTTACCAGCTGAGGTAGTGTTGGTCCCAGTAGCCAGGGCCTGTGGAAGCCCCGAAGGTCAGGTTGAAGACACAGATGTTGTTCTGGGACCCAAAGAAGGCTCGGACAATGGGTGACTGGGGGAAACCGTAGGTCAAGGTGGGATAAACAGGGGAGGCTTGGCAAGGAAGGGCTGATTCTCGGCTCCTCTGCCTCTGGGAGAAAGCCACCGGTCGCCACTGCACAAAGCCTGATGGGAGGGAGCCCCATAGCAGCTGGTTCAACTGGGGAGAGAGGCAGGCAAGACAGGGTAAGGAGGACCAACCTGTGCCTGGCCCTTCTGTACTCTACCCTTTCTCAGATTCCATCTGTCACCAGTCGTCCTGAGTCGTACCAGGACCTCAGCCTTTCCTCTATAGAGAGGGGAGTTGGAATGGATGAACACTAGGTGCTTCTCCAGCCCTATCTCTCTGCAAGCCTGCACCCATTCTCTCCTCTGGGCCCCTAGGCCCTTGCATATCCCACTTGCCGGAGCACTAAATCACACTGCACTGTACAGTGCCTGCCTTCCATCTTCCCTGCTGAGGGCAGAGACTGGGCCAAATTCATTAGCATGGTGCCCAGCACTTAAAAGAGCCGAATAAATTGTTCCTGAATGGTAAATGGTTGAATGACTGTCTGAGGTGCTCATTGGGGTTCCCTCTGCCCCCCCCCCCCATCTCTCTGCTGGAAGCCTGACCTGGAAGACAGCAGGTGCATATTCATCATCGATGGAGTGCTGCTCCCTCATTAAGGGACAGTCAGGGCCCTGGCCCAAGGTGGCTACCTCCAGCCCAAAAAGGGAACGGTTTCCTCGGGGAGAGGCCCCAGTCAGGGCCACCTCTAGCTGGCAGGTGTCCATTGTGTGCAGGAGGCGAGGGGGTTGGGCTGGTCGGCCAGATCCGGAGAAGGCCTGCACCTAGGAGAGATGAGGCACGGGGGGCATGGGGAGCATGGGAAGCAGATGGATGCCTGTCCTTCAAGGCCACCCCCGTCATTCATGCCCACCTTCACAAACCAGCCTTTTGAGCTCTTCTATTCCCACACCCTTACCCTGAAGACCAGGCTGCCATTGGCAAAAGCCCCAGTGGGGTCATGACTGGGGCGGCCTCGAAATGTGGCGCTCAAGGTGGCAGGATCCAATGAGTCAGTGATGTTGTTCCAGGAGAACTTGTCCAAGGCGTACGGGGGATATGGTTTTCCTGGAGGCTTTGCTGCTGCATCAGACGAGTTGGTACTGTCAAACTCAAACAGCTGGCAGGTAGAGTGGGGTGGGAAGGGGCTTGCCTGAGTCCAGCTCTCTCCTGAATCACACCGCCCTCCCCAGCACTCACTGGGACCCGTGACCAGACTCTCACCCCTGACTCTGCTTCACCCACCCCGTCTTTAGTTCCTCCAATCTGATGAAACTTCTTTTCCCTTTGGTTCTCCCCCAACCTCCTCACCCTGGTAAAGACAAGGGCTGAAGAAAACTGGATGTTGTCCTTGGGGAGCACCATCAGACCCCCGCTGGGCTCAGGCGAGAGCAGGCGGCTCCAGTTGACACTCAGGATGCTGTGGGGAGTATTGGTGGCCACCAGCAGCACTGCTGGAGGCCCGAGGCTGCTGCACACATAGTGCAGCGTGGAGTTGGTGCCCACTGCCCGGATATGAAGCAGGTTCTGGGGGGGTCCCACATCGTTAGGGATGACCACCAGAGACACCTAGAACATGGAGTAGTAGAGGGTCAAAAAAACAGGATTCGGGAGAGACACAGGGCAAAGGAGAAGCTTGGGGGTTGAGGCAGGAAACTTGGGAAATACTGGGGACAGGGTGGGGCCTAGACAAGAAAAATTTGTGTGGGAACTAAGGCAGTCTTGGTGCAAGGGCAGAGGTGGGTGAAGGAGAAGGGGGAAGAGCCAAGATTGCCAGGACCCGGGTTAAGAGATCAGGACATAGAGCTAAGAGAAGGAAAACGCTAACGTTGCCTGGACCTGGGTCACTCAGGGCTGAGTCAGGGTCCAGACTTCCCCAGAAGACAGGAAGCCCTCATCCCCTCCCCCAAGATGAAGAACTCTTCTCTATGCAGCCACTCCCCGACCCCCGCCCATTGCCCTAGATTCCAAACGTGCTTCAAGGGTAGCATTTCCTGAAACCTCTACTGCTCAAGCCCCTCACCTGGCGGGTCTCTTCCCCCAGCAGGCCAAATGGAGCCGCAGACAGAAGACTCAGGAGGAGAATGGGGCTGGGGTCGGAGCGGCCCCAACCCCGGCGGGGTTCCTCACAGCAACACATGCAGCCCCAGCTTTAGAGAGCGGAAGACACCAGAGTCAGGTGACTTACACTCCTCTCGTCTCTTTAAAGGGCGGGACCAACACATCGGTTCTTAAAGAGACCGCCTCACTTAACCCAGATTTAGGCTTCAGTGAGAACAGATTCAGAAAGCTTTGAAGTCTGTCATCCCCAACCTGGCTGGCAAGGAAAACATCCGAGACTAGACAGATAACTAGACATACTCCCACCCTCTCCTACCCAACTGATCCCACTGCACAGTTAGTTACCTATAAGTGGGCATGATGTCTAAAGATCCAAATAGATCCCCAAAAATGACTCTGATAGGGAAGTCACAGAGATGAATTTGAAGGAATTCTGTGGGGGAGATAGCACACTCTAGAAGATACTTTATACCAATTATTATTTATTGAGCCCCCAGGTAGAGCTGAAGAAAAAGGATATCTCTGAAAATAGGATATGAAAACAAAACATGTTATTTGTCAAAAAGAGCTCATGTCTGGCTGAAAGAACACTTTTTGTTGTTCTTGGGTTTTGTTTTTGTTTTTCCTCAATCTTAAAATTATTTTCACTAATAATAAATGCACATGGTACAAAATTCTCAAGGTACCACAGGGCATCACCTCTATTCTGTAGTAACCTGGTTCCTACCCTGAGACAACCACTGTTACCAATTTTTGTCTTTCCGAAGATATTCCATGCATACTCAGGTATATAATACCTATTATATACATATGTGTAAATATCATAAAATGGCATCGACCATAAAATGGCCCTGCAGTTTGCTACTTCATCTGTATTTTAAACTCTTCTCTGTATCAATGCACTTGGAGCTGTCTCACTCTCCATAGAAGTCTTTCATTGCAGGTGAATGTTCTATGGATATTATTTAACCAGAACCTTCTCAGTTCCAACATTTCACTGTGGGAAACAATGCCGAAAGGAATATCCCAGTATGTACAGCATTTCATATATATTTGAATTCAAATCCATAGGATAAACACCCAGGAGTGGAATTGTCAGGTCAAACCGCCTTATGAGGCTTATCAATTGCTGCTCAAAGGATGTGTTCAGACCCGTTCCCCAACACTTTTGCCAAGTGTTTATCAAACTTAATTTGCGTATCTCTACAAATAAGGTTAAGCCTCTTCATGTTTTAGTCATTTATTTTTGCTTTTCTGGAGCTATTTATACCCTTTGCCTATTTTTCTTTTTTTTAAGTATATTTTATTGATTATGCTATTGCAGTTGTCCCATTTTTTTCTCCCCTTTATTCCCCTCCGCCCTGTACCACCCTCCCTCCAGAATCCCCCCTCAGTTCATGTCCATGGGTTGTACACATTAAGGTCTTTGGCTTGTCCGTTTCCTGTACTATTCTTAACCTCCTCCTATTTTGTGCCTTAACCAATTATGCTTCTTATTCCCTGTATCTTTTCTCCCATTCTCCCCTCCCCCTCCCGCTCCCCCTCCCCACTCATAACCCTCCATGTGATCTCCATTTCTATGATTCTGTTCTTGTTCTAGTTTTTTTGTTTGGTTTTTCTTAGGTTCGGTTATAGATAGTTGTGAGTTTGTTGTCATTTTACTGTTCATAGTTTTGCTCTTCTTTTTCTTAGATAAGTCCCTTTAACATTTCATGTAATAAAGACTTGGTGATGATGAACTCCTTTAACTTGACCTTATCTGGGAACCACTTTATCTGCCCTTCCATTCTAAATGACAGCTTTGCTGGATGGAGTAATCTTGGATGTAGGTCCTTGCCTTTCAAAAATTTGAATACTTCTTTCCAGCCCCTTCTTGCCTGTAAAATTTCTTTTGTGAAATCAGCTAGTAGTCTTATGGGAATTCCTTTGTAAGTAACTGTCTTCTTTTCTCTTGCTGCTTTTAAGATTCTCTCATCTTTAACCTTGGGTAATTTAATATGATGTGCCTTGGTGTGTGCTTCCTTAGGTCCAACTTCTTTGGGACTCTCTCAGCTTCCTGGACTTGCATGTCTATTTCCTTTACCAGATTGGGGAAGTTTTCCTTCATTATTTTTTCAAATAAGTTTTCAATTTTTGCTCTTCCTCTTCTTCTGGTATCTCTGGTTCAGATGTTGGATTGTTTAAAGTTGTCCCAGAGGTTGCTAAGCCTCTCCTCATTTTTTCAAATTCTTCATTCTATTCCAGTTGAATGTTTTTAAAAAATATTTTATTTTTAGACAGAGAGGAAAGGAGAAAGAGAGGAAGATAAATATCAGTGTGTGGTTGCCTCTTGTATGCCCCCTACCAGGGCCCTGGCCAGCAACCCAGGCATGTGTCCTGACCGGGAATCAAACCAGTGACACTATGGTTTGCAGGCCAGCGCTCAATCCACTGAGCCACACCAGCCAGGGTTGAATGTTTTTTCCTTCTGTTCCAAATCGTTGAGTCTCGGGTTCCTTCTCTTCACTGTTGGTTCCCTGTATATTTTTATTTCGTGTTGTACAGGCTTCACTTGTTCATTTTGTGTCCATGCTCAATAATTTCTGAGTATCCTGATTACCAGTGTTTTGAACACTGCTATCTGATATGTTGCTTCCTTGCAGCCTAACTTTTTTCTGGAGTTTTGGTCTGTTCTTTCATTTGGGCTGTATTTATCTCAGTGCACTTGTTACATTGTAAGGGCGGAGCTTTAGGTATTTGCCAGGGCAGAGCAACCCACTTCTCTGCACTGTGGCGCTGTTTCTAAGGGAGGGGTCAGAGAGGGAACAGTGCCACTTGCTTGGCTCTCACCCAGCTTTCAGTCACTTCCCCTGCTACCCACAGGCAACTTGGGTCCTTCTGGTGTTGATTCCCGGGTGGGTAGGTTTGTGTACATTTTAGGACCTTGTGAGTCTCTCCAATGGACCCACCTGTGAGGTCGAGTTTCTTCCACTGCCGCATCCCCCACAGGTTTTTATAGCCAGAGGTTTTGAGGCTTCATTTCCCCCATGTGCAGTGTCTCACTCCCCAGCTGTTCCTCCCGGTTTGTCTGCATGCAAATGTGAGACCACCTTGCCTGTCCCGCTCCCAGGTCTGTCAGCTAATGCCTTGCCAGGACTCCTCTCCACCCCAGCTGTCTGCTCCAACCCTCCTACCAGCCTGGATGAATGTTTCTTCTCTGATTTCTTGATTATCAGACTTCCATAGTTACATTTTCTGGCAGTTCTGGTTTTTTGTTTTTAAATTGGTTGTTGTCCTTTTGGCTGCGCAAAAAGCAAAGTATATCTACCTATGCCTCCATCTTCGCCGTAGGCCCTATCTTCTTGACTGCCAAGTCCTAAATGTTACTTCATGAAATAAACTTGATTGTTGAAACATCCTCCCTCTACTGTTTCTTTTGCCATGCAAACTTTTTAATGTAGTTGCATTTATTATTTCCCCCCCCCCTCTGATGTATTTTAAAATCATGTGTCCTTCTAGTACTCTTATGGTTTCACTTTTTTTAGGTGATGTTTTTCTTTTATTCATTTTCATGGAGGGAGGAAGAGGAAACAATGATCAGTTGCCTCTTATATGTGCCTTGACAGGGTACCAAACCCACAACCCAGGCATGCACCCTGACTGGGAATTGAACCAGTAACCTTTCACTTTGCAGGCTGATGCCCAACCGAGACACACTGGTCGGAGCATGAGCACTATTTCTTTCGAGATCTTTTTTACTTATTTGAGAATTAACCTAAGGTCTGAATACTCAAGGGAATTATTAACATTGCAAAGGGCAAAGATTTCAACAAAAGATTTTATAGCCCCTTACAAAAAAGGGCTAAAGACTTATGACTGGGCTAAGCAGGAAGCTAAAAACTAGGTATGAACAGAGCAGGAAGTCTCCAGAGGCCCTCTCCCAAGATCTTTTCCACCTTGTACTTCAATCTGGCCAGCACAGCCAACTCTAATAGCATGGCCTCTGCAGCCAGACTGCCTACAAAGGAAGTCTAGGTCTCTACTTAACCACTTTGACCCTTGAACAAGCTTCTTTATCTATGCGTTAGATTTCCCATCATAAAATGGGATTATATGCCCTGACTGGTGTGGCTCAGTGGGTTTGGCATGGTCCCACAAACTGAAAGGTCTTTCATTTGACTCTGGGTCAGGGCACACGTCTGGGGCGTGGGCCAGGTCCCTAGCTGGGAGTGAGAGGAAACTAATCAATATTGCTCTTCCTCTCTTTCTCCCTCCTTCCCCCTCTAAAACAAAACCTTAACAAAAGAAACCCTGGCTGGTGTGGCTCAGTGGATTGAATGCCAATCTGTGAGCCAGAAGGTTGCCAGTTCAATTCCTAGTCAGGGCATATGCCTGGGTTGCTGGCCAGGTCCCTGATTGGGAGTGTGAGAGAGGCAAATGATCGGTTTCTCTCACACGGATATTTCTTTTCCTTCCTTCCTATTTCTCTAAGTAAATAAATTCAAAATCTTAAAAAAGGAGATAAAGGGAGGATATTACCAATTATTGGGTTGGTGTGAAGATTTGTTAATGTACATAAAGTGACTAGGACATGTCTATTACATAGAAGGCACTATTATTCTACCAAGTATTCAACTTAATACAACTAAGTCCTGTGGTTGGGAAGGAGATAAAGGCCCATTGTATGTTACCATAAGGACAAAGGGTGAAAAACCCAATAACCGGGAGGAAGGACACTGAAAACAGTCAAAGGCTAGGCCCACCTAGTCCCCCACATCCCAGGGCCACTACTGAAGTTTTTTTCCCCTTGATAAAAACGAAGCACAAAATGGATTTTAAATTCTTTTGCTTCTGCTAACAGGGAGGGCAGAGGTCCTACTGTGAGAAAGCATGCCCTGTCAATAAGCCAAGATGCCAAAATATAGATTAGAACATTAGGAGACAGAGAAAAAGAATTCCTGGTAAGATAGGATGGATTCTGTAAGTTACAGGCTATAATATGATAAATGTGTTTTTTTCAGTTTGTCTTTTTTTTTTAAAGATTTTATTTATTTACAGGGAAGAGACAGAGAGAAACATCAATGTGTGGTTGCATCTCATGCACCTGCTGCTGGGCACCTGGTCTGCAACTTTGGTTCCTACACTGGGAACCAAACCGGTGACTCTGGCTCGCAGGCCCATGCTCAGTCCACTGAGCCACGCCAGCCAGGGCAATAAACAGATGTTCTGAGTGCTTTAGGACACGTGCCTGAACCCTAGCATGAACTGGGTGTTGCTCTACATACAACCAGAGATGGGGAACACCCATGGTTTGGACAGGTTCCTCCTGTTCTTTGGGTGGTAAATGCAAGGTGATCCTTCTTTAAGCTTTACAGTATCATCCTTTGAACTCCAAAAGTGTTTTCAATCAGCATCTACTAAGAAGTCTGAAGAAGACCCCTTCAGGAAGGCAATAAAAACACTTAATGACTGTATTCCCATCTCCCTTACTCCCCAATAAGGTGTTCTGCCTCTTTGCTGTTTGCCAGGAGGCAGAGATATGACCCAAAGTTGAAAAACACATAACAACGGTCTCAAATGACTTAGATTTAATCATCGGAAGCAAAGTAAATGGAAAGCTTACAATAGAGAAGAATTACGTGTCAGTGCCTTTTGCAAACTGAGCTGGGACAGAAAGGGACTGGGGCTGCCCCTCAACTTGATCCCTTCCAAACAAAGACATCCACAGTGTCCCTGGCAGTCTGGCTCAGTGAAGGGGAAGACTGGTGGCTCTGTGTGTCCTGTTGCCCACCACTCACTCCTGGCCAGCATCAGGAGCCCCACCTTGCCGGCCCTGGTCATCACCCTTCTTTTTGTGGCCTGAGACGATGTCATCAATCCGCAACAGCAGAACTGCCGTCTAGAAGAAAAACCATAGTCCCAAAGAGATCAGCAGAAGGGAAGGACATTGGTGTTTTTTTAGACATTACTACCTAGCACCTCCTACATAATTACCATTTTATCTGAAAGCTACCTTTTCAGTCCTCAATGCAAAATAGAGTTCTCCCTAAGCAAGGAATGCAGCTTGTGCTGTTACCTTGCTTTTTATATGGGCTAAAGTAGGGGAATGGAATTCCTTGGGAGATCTGCCTTCTATACCTCCTCTATTCAAGATGGGACGAAACACACTCGTTATCTGGGAATAAAGAACACAGCGTAGGCCTTAGGGTGCCTCACCTCCACTGCTGTCTTGTATGTTTGCAGTTTCACAGCCAATGGCTCCCAGATGCCCAGTTCTTTCATGTCCACCAAAGTACCTGTCTCACCATTGACACCCCAGGTCTCACAGTTCTCCTGTGTATGCTTGGCCTGTAGTTGGAACAGCATAAACAGTTAAAGGGGAAAAGACTGGGAACACGTAAGCTGTCAGGGAACATTAGATTAAAAAAACAAAACAAAACAAAACCAAATACACTGGATTAGTAAGGAACGGTTAGGAGGAAATGGCAACGACAGCAAACAAGTTAGAAATTAGGAGAGATATGGAGGGAGGGGGATAGTGGGGAAAGGAAGGGGAAGGGTCAAGTCAAGGAACATGTGTGAAGGACACATGAACGTAGCCAAGGTGGGGAGGGACTGAAGGAGGGAGGGAGGGAGGGAGGGAGGGAAGTGAGGGTGGGAGGGGCAGGGGAAAGTGGTGGCAGGTAAATGGAGACAGATGTATTTGAACAATAAAAATTAAAAAAACTTAGGATATTAAAAAACAAGCTATAAAGGAGACTGTGGATAGAGAGGTGTCAACCGTCCTCTAAAAGCAAACAAAGTCTCCCCTACCCCATCAAGAGAATAGCATGGAAAGGAACTCACTCGAAGGGAGGTAAGTAGACGAATGGTGCTAGCTCCACAGTTCTGGATAAGCGTACGAGGGATGACCTCTAGGGCCTGGGCAACAGCTCTGTATGGCCACTGCTCCACACCAGTCATGGCCTTGGATTTTTCTGTCAAGGCATGGGCCACAGCCATCTCACACGCCCCACCCCCTGGCACCAGCTGAGGGTCCAGGAGAACGTTGCGGCACACTTGCATGGCATCCTGGAGGTTGCGTTCTACTTCCTTGGGAAAGCAAACAGATAGTATGAAGCAAAAGCTTGATGACTCAGGGACAAATCAGAGGTATCAAAGGACTTCCTGACTGCCAAGTTCAGCAAACCACCAAGCAAGGCAACTAAGTAAGAAAGGAATCCCCACTGGGCAAGGCAGAGGCTGTTCAGCTTGGACAAATACATTAACTACATCTGCAAAAGAGCTGGGGGTGGGAAAGGAGGTGTCATTCTGTAAAGGTAGGTTTCTTACTAGCAATGTGCCTTTGGGTAAGTTACTTAACCTCACTGAGGTGAAAAAAAAGTAGTTATTTATGATTTCAACTTAAATAAGGAACCATTGGTTACCAGAGGCTGGGAAATGATGAGTCAGTAAATGACTCATTATGGAACAGCATAAACAGTTAAAATGAACATTATGGAACAGCATAAACAGTTAAAGGGGAAAATACGGGGAACACATAAGCTGTCAGGGAACATTAGATTAAAAAACAAAACAAAACCAAATACACTGGATTAGTAAGGAACGGTTAAGAGGAAATGGCAATGACAGCAAACAAGTTAGAAATTAGGAGAGATATGGAGGGAGGGAACAATGTTCCACTGTTCAGTAAATATTGGTCTCAGTTTTTTAAGAAGCTCTGGAGATCTGTTGTACAGGAATGTGAATATACTTAAAAAGTTAGCAGGAGAGACAGATATGTGTGGCTATGGACCAAAATTAAATAAGTACTACATGGACAACAGGGTGATTTTAAGCCCTCTGGGAAACTCAGGAAATGGAATGACCTAGAATTCAGTCAGTCGCACTTTCAAGGCTGACTCACCGAGAGAATCTCTTTGCTGGCCCCCCGGAGGAGGATGGTACAGGCCTTGGGGTCTTTACACTCAGTGATAAATGTAAAGTACTCATCTCCAATTTTCTTGATTTCCAACAGGCCTGCTCCTGTCCCAACATCATCTTCCCTCAGTTCCTCTGGTCGGCTGACTATCCGGGCCCCACAGGCTCTATTGATTAGACAAGAGAGAAGGAGGAACCAGACAATTTCAGATACTTTTACTCATCTGCCTCGTCCCCTAGGGTATTTGACTAGGGATAAGGGAAAAGTGGACTGCTAGAAACATTGCTACTTAACTCAAGAGGTCTTGGCTGCCTGGTGAAATAGATTTTCAAACACGTATAGGTGAGGCTTCCTTAAACTAACGTCTTTATAAATAAAACTTCGCATACCTAACACTACTACCAGATACAGTTTAATTCAGAGTATATTTTGTGGATACTAAAATTTGAACAAATGAGTTCCTACACATATCTAACACGTACATACCATATAATGGTTATTTGTAGATAAAATCAACCCTGTACTACCAAATTAGATTTCAAGGCCAATAATAGGACTTTAGTAAAGACAATGCAGCCCTGTCCAGGTAGCTCAGCTTGTCCCATTATGCCAAGGCAGCAGCTGGATCTCTGGTCAGGGCACATACAAAAGGCAACCAATGAGTGCATGGATGGACGAAACAACAAATTGGTGTTTCTCTCTCTCTCCCTCAAACCAAAGACCACCATGCAAAGGCAAGCAAGGAGAAAGGTGAATAAGTACATTGGCAGGGAGAGGGGGGAGGGCGTGCAAAACAAAAAAGACAGAAACAAAACATCCCCAGAATTTATTTATAAAAAATTGGGTATTTACTCTTACATGTTTAAACTTGTCACCTTCAAAATACTCTCCATTCGATGCAATATACTTATCGATGTTTTATCCACTGCACAAGACAGTTTTTGAATTTGTCAATTTTGATGCCTTTTAGTGCTTCTGTTGTTTGTTTCACCTCTTCCACATTGGCAAACATCTCCCTTTGAGGATTTTTTTTCACTCGGGGAAACAAAAGTCGCTTGGGGCGAGACTGGGTGAACAGGGAGGGTGGGACACAGGCATCATGCCATTTTTGGTGTGCTCGTAAATCACCCATAATGAAATGGGAAAATGTGTTGAAAGAGTCTTAAAAAAAAATTCACTGAAGCTGAATGCAGCCTCTCACAATGCCACCTGGTACACTGATATAGATGGGTTCCTAGAATAGTCACTTAGCAGGAAAGCTTTTACTATGAGGGGCGTGCCCTCCAGAAGATGATTGTTTTTTTCTTAGGTCCCTCTTAAGTATATGTCTGACCCAATTTTAATAAATGTAGGCCTAATTTCTTATTTGTCACTCTTTCCCCCCACTCATGGGCATTTACAGTCAATTAAGTATATGAACAGATGCCCAGAATCATTTCACTGCAAGAAGTGTAAAATTTGATTTGGATCTATGATATATTCTGTGACGTTGGGGCAAACTTATCTTTTTAAAATAAATTAGCATTAAAAATGATTGGTATCTGAGCACATGCATCAGCACGTAAGTAGTGAGTACAATTTAAAGTTGCATCAACAGTAGCTAAGGAGTCAATCAAGGAAACTGAAGGCTCTACTATATTCTGAGCTAGTTAAAAACAGGCTACTCTGTAACAGACCCCTACCAAGGCAGTGATCACAGACGTCTAGGTATAAGCTGGTCACTATGGATTAGGAGCAGTACAGAAGAGACTCCCGCAGTAGACAGTATTTGGACTAGGTGTGGACTTCTTAGGACAGCAGACAGCTAAACTCAGGTTACTCCCACCTGCAACTGATATGGCTGGTTATATCCTATACTAGACCTTTTCAGGTAATGGTGGTGCATTATGATGCTACAAAAGAGAAACACATGGAAAGGAAGAATCTTATTTTCACTTGGCCTACTCACCTAGCAATGCGATTATTGTCTGTCTTCCGGACTCTGCGGATGGCTGTGATATTGGCCCGCATGAGGTAGTGCTGAGCTAAATCTGTAAACCCAAGAGTAGAGGTGTCAAGCTCAAAACCAGAACTCCTGTGTTTTAAACTGGTTTTATCCTCAAATCCTCAATGTACCCTAACTATCAAGTTTATTATGTTCTCTATGCCAACACGAGAGACATAAAATCACCCATCCTTTTCTACGTCATTAGTAGGCTAAAAAAATGAGTCCAACCTGAGATGCCCTTTTCTGTGATAACCACATCGGGCTTCAGGTGAATAATGTCTTCACAGAGCTGCTGGATGTATTCTTCTTCCATCTGTAGAATTCGGGTGAAATCTTCCTCTCGTGTGATCTCAATGTCAGTCTGTGTGGTGAAGAAAAATCACTCTGATTTTAAAATCTTAAAAAAAGTAAGTTCTTACACACATCTCACATTTGCATACCACATAATGGTCATTTCTAGAGAGACTTCATTTTATACGACCCAGCTACAGTTCAAGGCTAATAATAAAACTCTACTAAAGACAATGCAAAGGCAAGGAAGGAGAAAGGTGAATTAAGTATGTAAGTATACGTCTCACCCAATTTTAATAAACATAGGACTAATTTCTTATTTGTCACTCTTTTCCTCCACTCATGGGCATACAGAATCAACTAAGCATATGCACATATGCCCAAAGCCATTTCAGAGCAAACAGAAGTATAAAATTTTATTTGGATCTATGATATATTCTGTGATGTTGGGGCACTTTTTTTTAAATAAATTATTAAAAATTATAGGTATGTAGGCACAGGCATCAATGTAGAAGTAGTGAGTGTAATCTAAAGCTGCATTAACAGCAGCAGAGAAACCAATCAGGGTCGTCCCAGTTACTACGCTCCCTCTCATGTATCCCAGAAAGTATGAGTTAAGAATGTTAAAACCATGACCTCACAACTCTTAAGCCAGTTTAGCTCTAGCAATCATCTAGTTTAACACCTGCATTTAACTTTAAAGCAATTGGAATTCAAAGTCGTAAGGCAGTCTGTGGGGAGTGTGACCTAACATCTCCGACCACTCAGTTCAATGTTACCTCTATCCTGTCAGTGTGCATTAGTAATTCTGAGTTTGAACTCTTCCCCCCAATAAACTGATTCTTATTTTCAGTCCTTGATTAATAAACTTGAATTACTTTGTTTTATACCAGGGTGAGAGCCTTGTAAGGTTCCTGCCCTCTGGAAATTATTCTTTAGCACCCAAAGCTAAATTAGCCCCTACCCTATGCTCTACTGATGCATTAGGAAAGGTGTTATCGCAGTGTCAATTTGAGGCCAGAGTTGGGTTTAAATCCTGATTTGGCCAGTTATCTGCTGTGTTCCTCAACAAATTGACACCTAGTAGGCAGGTAAAACATATCTTTTATTTCCCTTGTACATATTAAAAGAGTCATGTTCTTACATCAATTTTATGTACTTTTTTTATCCTCATCCAAGGACACTTTTACATTGCTTTTAGAGAGAAAGGCAGGGAGAACGCGAAACACTGATGCAAGAGAGAAGCATCAAATGGTTGCCTTCCTGTACATGTCTGAACTGGAGATCTAATCAGCAACCCAGGTATGTGCCCTGACTGGGAATCAAACCCGCAACCTTTCAGTTAGGGACAGTGTTCCAACCAACTGAACCACACAGGCCAGGGCTCTTACACCAACTTTTAAGGAATAAAACAAGAAACCTTACCTGGCTTTCTCCTTTCTTGTATTCCAGAGAAGAATCCAGCAGCACAATGCGAGGGTTCTTGATATAGCGTCGCATTCGTGGATGGGTCACATCTTTGTTAATCATGACTCCACGTAAAACACATGAATCTTCAATGATACCCCCAGGTATCTGAGCAAAAGAGCCACTTAATCCATCATCAGGAGAAGACAATTTCTCAACTCTCTTCCCAAAATATTCATCTTTCCCAAAGACCACTATTTGGGTTTCTAAACTTTCTTTCTTCCATGAAACTCAAAAACAAATACTGTTACACATTTTTCCCCCTCTAGGAAGCATATCAATCTTAGACCATGACACCTAATCTGAAGAGCAGCTGAGGCTCACAGAAACTAGGCAATTGACAAAGATTCATTAACTTAAGGGGCTCAGCTCTCTTCTACTTCCTGAGGCTAATAAGCACACAGAATTTTAGGCTTGGAGCTCCATCTACTGGCCACAAGAAATGAATGCCACTTTTTAAATTTTAGTAGGGTGATGGAGAAAGCTTTCTGGGGTGTAATAGCGTAACAGAGAGAGACCTTGTTTTATCCCTACCAAGTGGCTGATAGGTATACAAATGCACAAACATGGGGACACCAATAAGCCTTTCCCCAGCCCCCAATAAACCTTGTGTAGGGACGGCAGTGAAGATAATAGAATTATTTCACGAATATCCTCCTTTTTCCAAGTTTTTGTTTTCCAAGCAGCAAATACTCTTCTTCCTAGTTCTAACTTTAAAGATATCTTGTTCTGATTTAAACCTATTTCCTGCATAAGTGGGATGACTCATGCTAGGAAACAATTTGTCTCCAGAGTACCGACTAGAAGAGTTTACCTTTTCTATCCTCGCATATTTCTTGATGTCAATCTCCTTCCGGCCATTCTCCTCAAACTGTACAGTTTTGACAGCATCCAGGGCAATGTTGCAAGCCAACGAGGACCACCGACTGATTGCTTTGGTAGTAATGGAGCTGTTGATAATGTTCAGCATCATATCTCGATTACTGGTGTCAACGGGGGTACTGGAGAAAAGAAAAACAGATAATAGCTCAATAGGGGTCATGAATATTAAAGAAGTCTCTCATCAACATCTCAGTAACTATAATAATAATAATAATAATAGGCCAACAGACAGAATTAGGGAAACCTGTTTCTTTGTAGGAAACTAAATGTGACACCAAGTAATCTTGTCCAATCTTCTGCCTTTTCAGCAAGATTATAACTAACTCATCCCTGGAAGGTATATCAAACCCCTGAGTAATGTGTTCCCATGTCTGACAACTCTTCCACACTTACATATACATCTTATAGTAAAATAATTTATTCTTAACCTCCTGCTTCAACCAAGAAAATTCTAAAACTTTTACAACCTGTGTCAGGACACGTATGGACTTTGAAGCCTGACCCCTATCAAATTCTGAGAGTTCTCTTCATAATCAGCATTGGTCTCTACCAGTCAGCATGTGGAACACCTGATTCTGCTCTATCTAGTACCTTAATACCCGGTGCACCGCGTAGTGTTTACTGTTTTTATGTGTTTGTCTCCCCTAACAAGAGTTTGTTACAAATGTACACAGTAAGACTATTTAGAACCGTAAAGTGAATTTGTAACAGTCCTTGAATACCATCTTGTCCAAATTTTCACATACTGCTGAACTCTTTTATAACAGGGTAAGGTAAATAGTATACAAACATTAAATGCTATTGAATATACATTTTAAGAGAAAAGCAATAGCTCCAGAAGTATTATCTAAGATATGCATGCAGTTATTGCTTGATAAAAAGAAAAACTAATGATTTGACTCCAAACACTCAAATCCTTGGGGTATTTCTACATTCTTATCAAGTTTACTTCATAAATATAACTTCAACACTTCATTCTGTAAGAGTGCCAGAATGATTATCATATACTCTATTAAACAGGAGGCAGTACAATACAAAGCTCACCAAATTTCTAGGTATTCAATGATCCTGCCATATAAAATGGCAGAACACTATAGGCTTTACTTTTGCATTTTGCTATGTCATGATTTAACTAACATTCCCTGAAGTTAGAAGTCATTCATTTCTACATTCCTTTCATCACCCTATTAGCGTTCAGCAAAAGGAGACTAACAGCAAGTTCTTCGATTACTGCATGGATTCAAATACCATTTTCAGTCCCAGTCTTTATTTTCATGGAAAACTGCTGGTAACCATCCTTCATAGCACTTTACTAGAGTACTGGCTGAATTAAGTTATAATCACATACTGTAGAATATTTTAAATCACGAATAGTTAGTTATTTAACTCCTTATTTTCCTAACAAGCTAAGTTTTTGGAAGGTAGGTCTATTTTACTTCTTACACATTGCCCATGGCAGCACCTAACATGGAAACCAGAAGATAGCATGTAACCAAAATGTTATAAAGAATTAAACCTAGCTCCTTTTGTCTGCTTTGTATTCTTTGCTATTTTCTAAAACTTTTATTTCCTTTATGCTTTTCTTCCTTTTGCTCTCCCCTTTGTTTCTCTTTCTCACAAAAATGATACAAGGGTATAAACCACCATGTGTGTGATATACCTGGACTTCCTTCACCTCCCTAAAAACAGATTACTCTTCCAGGCCTCCCATATTTGATACTACCCATTTTTGGTTCTCCCTCAATACCTAATTTTATTAAGGGTGCTGATCATATCATCCAATGCCTTTCGGTAAGCACTGATCACCACAGTTGGATGCATCTGCTGCTCTAGGAAGTGCTCGGCAACAGAAAGCATCTCCCCAGCTGAAAAAGAATACAAACACCATGTTTTTAAAAGTACCTGGATATAAAAGCAACTTCATTATGCTTCTAAAGCTATCTTACAGTTCTTCCTAAAAGAGGCAATTTGGCTGTTAATAATATTCCAAATTTTACACTTTATACAAGGCAATTCATAAAGAAAGTAACTTCATCATATATAATTTAAATGATCAAAAACTGATCCTAGGGTTTACTTAAGTCTCTTGATTGAACTAAGTATTTACCAGTGTCCTAAAAACAAACAAACAAAAAACATATTTCCAAAGACTGTAAAACAGAAAAATACGTAACATAAAATTGACTTATTATCTTAACACCTAGGATGCAAACTGCTGGTAGTAGAAATAAAACACAAAAAACTTACACTTGGAAGAATACCCCAAAACAAAATTTACCCTCTAGGAGAGGAATTATTGGTAAAACGTCCCTTTCTTTTTAAATTTGTCTTTACTTTGTAATTAATTCAAACACTAAATAATACATAGATACAAACACAAAAACCTTTTTTCTAAAAAATAAGTTTACCAAGCTCTGGCCAGGTGGCTGTTTGCAGTGGCTTTATTGTTTGGAGTGTCGTCCTGTACACCAAAAGGTTGCAGGTTCAACCCCTGGTTGGGGTGTGTATGGGAGACAACCTATCAATGTTTTTCTCTTACACTGATTTTTCCCCCTTCTCTCCCTTCCTCGCTAATACTCTTTAATAAAAACATATCCTTGGGTGAAGATTAAATTGTTTGTACTACCTGCCACAGTCACTAATTTTTAAAACTTACTCAAACGTGCCAAAGTTCATGTGCATACACTCCTTATTATGTGCTCAAATGTTTGAATTCAATACTTTATACCAATTCCTAAGTGACCACCATGTATATTAAAAGATAATCAAATATTTAACAAGATGCTCCAATAACTAAGAAAGTATATGCCCTGTTAAGTAGAACAGTAACATAGGTGTCATCTTTGGTGATAGCAAAATTGTTTTTTTTTTAAAGCAACCCATATCTGAGATACCTACACTTATGGATATTTAACCTACCTAATTATTTCCAGGAGATTCAATTAAAATTATCAGCTAGAAAATTCTGCCTGGTATCTAAAGCTCATCTTCTACCCAAAATAGTGAGGTCTTTCCTCTGCGTTTCATCTCCCAAGTTTTGCTTCAAAGTACAGAACTGATCATATGCATTGGGTTAGCCAGAAAGTTCATTTAGTTTTTTCCATACAATGGCTCTGGTAGTGCTTAGGTGTCTTTAACTTCATTTGAAACAACTTTGTTAGATTGTGACAGCTGTCATATCAGGGTGCATTTAAAAGAAAAATCAAAATTGGTGAATTTTTATGTAGCTATTTTAATACTAAAGATTGAAAATATGCGAAGTTTTTGGCGTATTATGTTTTATTATTTCAAAAAGGTAAAAAAGCAACTGAAATGCAAAAAAAGATTTGTGCAGGGTATGGAGAACGTGCAGCAACTGATCAAACATGTCAAAAGTGGCTTGTGAAGTTTTTTGGTGTGACTGACATTCTGGCCAAATAATTCCTTGCTGTGGGGTGGTCTTATGCATTGGAAGATGTTTAGCAGCACCCCTGGCCTCTACCCACTAGAAGCCAATAGTGGGAGATAGCTGACATTCTCAAAATATCCAAATCAACAAAGTTATTAATGAAAATGAAAAACATGTCTGTCGTTTTGAGGAAAAAATCTAAATGGACTTTTTGGCCAACCCAGTAATTCTAAAAAGAATTGACTTTAAAGATGAGATTAGTTGGTGGTGATGCAAGAAAACTTCCCACCCAACTCACCAGTCTCAAAATGCAGCACGAAGACATTTTAGAAATAATTTAAAACATCATTTTTTAAAAAGCACATATAATAATTTTGTTGTAAGAACTCTACTTTTTTAGGCATGTGGACCACCACTCTGAAAATACGGTTCTTTTCTCATTTCCTAACAATGTGTTGCTGCAATCAGATTTTTAAAAATGAATGCTTCTGTCCTGACTCGTGTGGCTCAGTTGGCTGGCATCATCCCAAGAAGCGGAAGGTTGCCAGTTCAATACTCGGTAAGGGCACCTGCCTAGGCTGCAGCTGGCCCCTGGCTGACACATGCCAGAGGCAACCGACTGATGCTTCTCTCACACATTGATATTTTTCTGCCTCATTATCCCTTCCTTCCCCTCTAAAAGAACAATAATCCTAACACAAAAAACCTGAACACTTCTGTTATAAAAATTTCACCAACTTAAAAGTTTATACAACAAATAAAAGCAATATGCCCTTCAGAAGTGATCTTTTATGATCCTGTAAATGTGGAAAGATTAGTTATTAAAACTTGATCAAGACTCATTCTCAAGATTTTTTATTGTCAATTTGACTACTTGCTAAAATCTGTAATACCAAAGTAGGTATTTACATCACTTTCATGGTCACTCACAGCAATGTGCAAAGATGAGAAATTTGAGTCTCCAAATGAATACATTCCCAGCTGAAGTTGAAAAAATAAGACAATGTTCTGCCTTATTTTAGCTCTGACTATAAGCAAGTATCCTTTATGTGGGCTATTTAGTACTACATTTTTCACATTTCTGTGCATTTTGTTGGTGATTTCACTGCTTAAAATGGCCCCCAAGCACAGCACTCAAGGGCTGTCTAGTTGTTAAATGCAAGAACACTGAGATGTGCCTTATTTAAAAAAAAAAACACGTATTGCCCAGGCCAGGTGGCTCAGTTGGTTAGAGCGCCATCCCATACACCAAAAGGCTGCAGGTTCCATCCCTGGTCAGGATGTGTAAGGGAGGCAACCGATCAATGTTTCTCTCTTGCACTGATGTTTCTCTCTCCCTTCCTCTCTCTAAAATCAATGGGGGTGGGAGGGGGGGAGAAAAAAACATATTAGCTTTGTTTAGGCATGAGTTATAGTGCTATTAGCCATGAGTTCAATGTTAATAAATCAACACCCCCCCGCCACATAAAATAAGGTATATATTCGGTTGATGAATATGACCAGAGCTCACAGGAACCAAATTGCATATGTGATGTTTACAAGTGATGTTCAGTATTCACTAATTCAGTTTGTGGTAACTTAATAGAATATAACTTACCGTAACCAATGAGAATTGACTATATTTTATTCAACCAGATTTATCCAGTTCATCCTATACTACTGATGAATATTTTATATTCAATTGGAGAGAATACATAATCAGCAACAAGTTACTGAAATATTTGTAATTCGCAAAAATTTCCTTCTTAAAATATGACATAGATGTTGTTTCTGGCAAAAATCTTCCCATTTCAATCCAATTTGCCTTATGAACCTTTTCCTCTTACCAAGAATAATTACTGATGTGGTCCCATCTCCAACCTCTTCATCCTGTGTCCGGCTAATTTCAATCATGGACTTGGCTGCTGGGTGCTGAACTTGAATCTGAAAAGAAAAATGTAGACTGCCCTAGAATCAACACTACTCAAAGACTTTCAATACACTTTGCTGGGCCCTATCTCTTAAGCTTCTTCCTTCCATATGTACTCCATTTTCCTTGTTTTACCATAACTTGAAAGATTAAAGGTGACCCCCAAAATATCTAAGCAAACCACCTTTCCAAGTCCCTTTCTTTTTTTAAGGAAAAATATTAAACCAACTGAACTATTACAAAAATTTTTTAAAAGACTTTATTTATTTATTTTAGACAGAGGAGAAAAGAGAAAAAGAGGGAGAGAATCATCAATGTGTGGTTGCCTCTGGAATGCCCCCTACTGGGGACCTGACCTGGCCTGCGCCCTGACTGAGAACTGAACCGACGACCCTTTGATTTGCAGGCCACACCAGCTGGGGCTGATCTGTTAAAGTTTTTTGAGAACACAACATTTATCTTTTAGCTTATTTACTGGGAGCACCATTATTGTGGCTGACCTGTGTCCTCCAAAAAAAGACACGATGAAGCCCTACCCTCTGGAAACAGTAAATGTGACTATATTTGGAAATAGGGTCATTGTAGATATAAACAAGATAAAGTCATGTGAATATCAGTGCAGGTTCTTAATCCATCCGCTGGTGTCACTGTAATGAAAGACACAGGAGAATACTGTATGACAACTGAGGGGGAGACAGAGTTCACAAGCCAAGGATGTAGTCAACCATAGGAAGCTAAAAATGGACCCCAGCTGGTGTGGCTCAGTGGCTTGAGCTCCGGCCCGTGAATCAAAGAGTTGCCGGTTCGATTCCCAGTCAGGGCACATGCCTGGGTTGCAAGCCAGGCCCACAGTAGGGGGCACACAGAGGTAACCACACACTGATGTTTCTCTCCCTCTCTTTCTTCCTGCTTCTCTAAAAATAATACTTTTTAAAAAAGGGGCTAAAAAAAAGGCAAAGAAGGATTCTTCCCCAGAGCCTTCAGAAGAAGCATGACACCTTGATTTCAGATTTCTACTCTCTAGTCTATGACGGAATAAATTTCTGTTGTTTAAAGTTTGTGATAATTTGTTCCAGCAATCCTAAGAAACTAATCATCATCTACATACATCTTTATGAGTACTTTATACAATTGTTAGAAAGCATAATGAAAAGTCATACCTCTCGAAGAATGGCATTGCCATCATTAGTCATCACAATGCCTCCCATTGGGTCCAAAAGCATCTATCACAAAAGCAAGTTATATTTCAGTGTTCCAGGTAACAGAAAGAGAAAATCTGAAGTCAAAGTTTCAATAAGAAATAAACCTACCTTCATCATAGACTTGGGTCCCAAACATGTTCGGATGATGTCTGCAATAGTCTATTGGGTAGAAAATAAAAAACATGTACAACCAGAGGACAACGTGAGTACGTGTGCTAGGAAAGGGGCATCAGTAACCCACAGAGCCAGTGTTTTAGCAATGTCACCTCTGACGTAGGGTGGGCAGCCACTTTAGATACTGCACACAATGTGGCTAGATTCTGTTTTTCCCCTTTAGGGATGCTTTCAGGGTGGATGTAAAAATAAATGACTTTTCACAAGAAAAAGGGGACACGCCTTCCACAACTTTAGTTTCCCAGTAGTCCAGATAAATAGAAACCCATGTCTTAGTATTTCTTTCCGTGATAGTGGCCTTCACACCATGCTAAATCAGATCTAGAGCTATTTCACTCAAAAGCTACTGAATACCTATCTGGGATCTACAGCAGCACTAAAAATACAATAGGGAATAAAGTGCTTCCCGTCAAGTAACTCAGTCTAGCATGAGACAAACACAAATAAAATATGAAACAATATACAGCATAAAATTATGCCTTATTATGAGAGGGTCTAATTCAGAGACGGAGAGCTTCCTTCTCCCTACCACCTTCAAGGATATGTCCTGAAAGAAGGGAAGTCAACTCTTCCTTTGCCTAACTGCAAACAGATACAGAAATAACAGGGAAGGCAGCTGGAGGAAAACTACTACAAACAACATCAAAGACATGCTACCTTGGCAGCACTGATGTTTCCAGATTGAACTTTTCTTCCAGATTCACGCTTTGTGTTCTGGCCTAAAATAAGTAAAAATAAAAGACAATAGCCCAGGATTGTCCCACTGTAGATAAGTTATTTATTCCCCAACCTTTGAAAATAAAAACACACGTTTCATTTGTTTCATGGGTATATATGTAACATGAAAGCTTATCAAAATTGTATACTTTAAATATGTGCAGTTTGTTGTATGTCAATTATACCTCAAAAAACTGTTAAAAAATAAACCTGTATTTATGGCTACGTTTTTATTTACTTCAACTCCTGGTATACTAAGAAACAACCCATAATGCTTCAACTTTGGAATCTTGGTCATCACTTTCTCTCTAACCAAACATTCACGTATTTACAGCAAGGATTTATAACTTTAGATTCATGAATGGGCCTCAGTGGGAAAGTGAAATCCCTGAGATATGAGAAAGTGGGAGTTACTGCATTTTTAACTGGGAATATGTTCTATAGCCATAATTAGATTCTCAAAGGGCTGGTAACCCTAAAAAAGCACCAATCACTGCTTTATGTAAAAAAAAGAGCGAGCTTGTGGGTTCATATTTTCCTACTTTGATAAAGAGAATCATACTCCTGGTAATTAATGATAGTGCCTCACCCCTCCCCCTCACCAGTGCACTGTGGAAGTCTTCACGAGTACCCCAGTTTGCAAGATAGTCACTCCATGCTTGGATATAAGAAGAATGCCTCTGTAATCCATTTACCATCCGTAGGAGCTGTGTACACATTTTAATATAGAGCCCAATCAGTTACAGCCACTAATGCCAGGGATTAATGCAGACCTGAAACGACTTTCGCAGCGTACCATTCACCCCCGGGGGCCCTCTCAATGGAGACAAGTGAGTGGTTATAACTAAAGCAACATATGCTCACTTCCCTCCTCTCCCCAAATTATACATTCCCTACAATTTAAACCTGTAAAATTTTCATCGAGTCCCATCAAACCTAAACGTTCACAACTCAAGATTTAAGATTCCTATTTCAGGCAGCGGTAAAATCCTGCATGAACCTTTCTGATGGATCCATCAAAAAGTATTTTCCCAGGTTAAGTGACTTTTTTTTCTGAAAACAGTTATTTTTTAAACGGATAAAATCTCTGAACAGCATTTAGTCTACAGAAGACAACAAGAAGGGAAAATGGCTAGTGGGCCGTCTTAGGGGGTCTCGCAGATGTCATCCTGAAGTTACACACAGGATGGAAATACACCAGGGGAAGACAATGAACCCTCGAGGTACTTAACAGTCAGAAATGTGGAATGTTCCCAAGGGGACAAAAATCTGGGATGTTCTGGAAGAGGATGAGTCAATCAATTTGGGAAAACTCGAGTTGGTAGCGGGAAAGATTACAACGCAGGTGACACCGAGGGAGTAATTACGTCTCAGACAGTGAGAGCAGAGTTACTTCAGGCACAGAGAGGGGTTGCTGAGGGGATAATCAAGAGGGCTGTTACTGAAAAGTGACCAGAGATACCGCTTGCGGTTTGCCACTCTTTTAAGCAGTTTACCTACTTATTCATCTGATTCTCACGATTCTAAGGGGAAATACTGTTAACCTAGTAATACAGATGGAAACACTTAAGCAATTTGGCCAAGGCCACACCGGCTACTAAGGGATGGATGGACCAACGTTATAAAGCTGGGCCAAAGTAAAAACAAGCCGAAACAAAACCAAAACCCCTACTCGTTTACCTACACACTGAAAATCACGTAAAGGAGGGTGCAGAGTAAGAGGGGGCGAAGAACGAAGGCCTACCACTCTAAGCAGCTTCCTAAAGAGAGTCGCCGTAAAGACAAGGAGCTCCGCGAGGAGGTCACTTTGTGTTTGTCAGGACAGAAATGAGTTAAAGGATGACAAGAGAGCGGGAGAAAGGGCTTCCCAAATGGGGACGATGACTGGAAGGCTCAGTGGCCGGACCACGGAGGGACTGGAACAGGACAAGAAGTGTGGACCGCGCTGGGAGAAAAGGGGGTCCCTCCCCAGGCTTCCTCACAACTCACTGAGCACGAGAACGGGACGATGGCCCATCATGGCGGCGCGATGCAGAGCCGGGTACCCAAGAGCTGAGGGAAGAGGCAGAAGCTTCTGGAGAGAACTTGAGAGAAGCCCAGAAAACGTTGCCTCCTCAGGACTTACACCTAAACCCGCTACCCTCCGGGTGGCCACCAATCACCGCGCCCACCTCATTGACCGGCACGAAAATAGACCAATTGACATTCTTAGCCCTGCCCCCTACGCAGGAACGGCAACGCAAGCTAGATAGAGAGAGCGCGATGATGGCAGTGGGAGGGCACCGGCGCCTGCGCAATGAGGGGGCCGCTCCCCGCCGCGTGCGGCTCGATTCTTGGCGCAAGCGCCAAGGCAAACTCGGGCAGTTGGCTGGCAAGCCACTGCGCATGTGTTTCAACTACAGTGTGGGTGCTCGGTGTGAGGCGTTCAATTAGTACCGCAGGTGAGGTCGTTAGAACGGCTTGCGGCTCAGCTCCTCTAGGGCAGCAAAGGACAAGAAAGTCGTGACAGTGTTCATTCACTCTTTCGTTTCAGCCTTAGCAACGTGGAGGAATAAAGGAGCGGACTCCAACCTGCAGTTGAGGGAAAGCCTGGCAGGTTGGCTGCAGGATGAAATGGGAGTTGTAGTCCTATCGGGCTGGGCTAGGTGGTAACCAGCTTTTCTTGCGGACATGTTGGAAGTTGTAGTTTATTGCCTCTGGACTGTTGCTATTAGGACAAAAAGCCCTGTTAGGCACTCTTAACCAGAGCTCGTTGTCCTTTCCTTGACCCTGTCAGACATAACTTTTTCTGAGCCTCTTTTTTTCAGGATGGTGTAATTACCGAAAGCTCCCTAAAGGTGCGAGTGTTCTGAAAATTTGTAAAACAGGACATGCCATATCGTAATGACTGGACCCTGAACCTAAAGATAACATTCCAGCAAACTGAAACTTGCACAAAATCAACTGAAGCATCTTCTTTTGTGACAGCCCTGATTACTTGACTGCAACCCCCTTGTCCTTTATAACCCAGTAAAAAGTCACGGCCCCAGGGGCTGGCTTACTTTTCCACACTTAGCCCCTTTCCTCTCTTGGAAAGTGAATAAAACTTTGCTTTCTGTATTTTCTTCTATTGAACTCTTTCACAGCCCCTGTCTCCAGCCACCCTAACAGTTGCTGTGCGTGGACCTTAACTTTCATGGGCAAATATTTTCTACTGAGGCTGTGAGCAGTACCAGAGGGTGATGGCTTATTTGCCCCCTGAGTTGTATCCAAAACATTTTCTCAAGGGTGCCTCTCAGATTTTCTTTCCATGCCTATTGTCTCCCCTCCCCTCCTCAGCCCGTCATCTGCTGGTCCATTAGAGATGACCAGAGTCAGAACTGTTAATTACCTTATAGGAAAGGAAAAGGGCTGATGCCACAGGAATTAAATGTGGAGAGAACAAAGAGAGTAGTTGACTGCAAGAGACTCTTAAAGTGTGGGTTTAGTTTAGTTGCTGGGTTTTTTCCCAGGAAAAAAAAGGAAGCAATAATAATAGAAATGACTGTTTTCCAAACTAGTGAAGGAACCATGAGAGCACAAACAATTCAGGATTCACTTATATTTGGCTATGAAATAGAAGAATACACCCTTTCACACTTTTTCCTCCCCAAATTGGAACAGCCTGAGATCTGCTGGAGAGGACTTAAGAAATTGTCAATAGTAAAATAATAGCATGGGTTGTTGATCACGTAATTCTATGATTCTTTCCCAGGCACCACACCTGTTGGTGTTCAGATGGAACAGCATGCTAGTCATCCTACTAACAGAAAAGGTATACATTGGAGACCCTTAAAAGCCAGACTGTAATTGCTCAGCGTTTGGGAAATGATTCTAGTTGTATGTTGGAGATTTTTTTCCTGTTAGTTAATTGGAAAGTATTTCTCTTTGTTCTGCATTTCCCATTAAATGGGAATGTTTCTGTATTCACAGTGCTTAGAACTGGATCTGTTAAATAATAAATACTCAATAATTAAATCTTGAGTAAATATAATATTCTTTCTCTGTATAGCCTCTTAATACTTAGAATAAGATTTTGTACAGGGATCCTAGAAGACACAGTGTTGAGTGGACAAATACTCTGAGTAGGACAGTCCCACTAGTGGCCAGGGAAATGCCTGAGGCCATCTATCAACTTGGCTATAGAGCAGATTATCTGAGTGACCCACTATGTTACAACTTGGACATCAGTGAACTAGTTCTTTTCACCGTGTATATTGTGCAGTGGTAAAGAGCATGACTTTGGAGTCTCCAGGCCTGGATTTGACTCCAGCACTGCCACATACTAATTGTGGAATCTTGAGCAAATTCCTAACTTGAGTTTTCTTAAATAAAATGTGGCTAAAGCTACCTACTTCATAGGGTTGTTGTAAGAAATATATATATGTCAGACACTTTTTTAAATTTTCTCCTCTACCTCCTTTTGCTGTTCTTCAACTTCATCCTCTGTTATTGTCTAGTCAGAAATATGGTTCTTTTAATATGGATTGTGTGTAAAGTATTCTTCAGATCTTACAACCCAGTAGAAAATGCATCCTTATATATCTAGGAAGGGCTCAAATTATTTAAATGTGCATTTGCATGGAAGGTAACAAATTTTTCAAGTGGTGAGGAGAGTTTTGACTCCTGAGTTTCAGCTGCTACTTACCACTCTGGGTGAGCGATGACTGATGACCCCGGAGCAGGAGGGAGGAAAAGATGGGTAATTTCCAGTAGGGTTTAAAAAATCCACAAATCTAATGTGAAAACAAATAAAAACACCCACAACAGATTCCCCTCACAGATTGCAATTTTCACAGGCTCAGTGACTTTCCAAACAGAAAGCACTTCAGCCTGCCACCTACATATGAGCACCTCTTCCTTTTGGCAAGCCGTTCCTCTGTTGCACTCTGAGTAAGGGACATCTTCCTTTATGCAAGTTGCTTGTTACACCTCCATGAAGATGTCCTCTATCTTCATCCTTCAAACCCTAGGTGATACCGGATCACCTCCTTCGAATACATTCTCCAGCTCCACAGACTGTTAGATGTTCTAATAGTACTTATGGGTCACTCACTGTCTACTCTGCAATATTGTTAAGTTTCATGAAAGTGGTGGCCATGTCTGTTTAGCTAACTGTGGTATCCTCAATGGCTGACACGTCGCAGGCGCTTAGCTCTCTTATACGTATGCATGAACCAATGATGTCAATTTTTCTTTTTTGCATATCATTGGGACAGTGAATTATGGACTCCTTATTGTCCCAAGCTCTAGCTATTTTGCCTTTTCAACCATTGATCCCCTGACATTGCCACTTACTTTTTATCATGCAAATTCCTGAGGAGAAGATGCCCAAAACTTCAGTTTTCTGTCTCAGTTTTTTGCCTTGGTTGCCTGCTCTATGTGCCCTGTGCCCTGACTGGGTATTGAACCCACAACCTAGGTATGTGCCCTGACTGGGAATCAAACCTGCAAACTTTTGGCATATGGGACAATGTTCCAAACAACTGAACCATTTATTTTTGCAACTTCATGACCTCTTTGTGGCTAGCCCAGCAGTGTGACATTTCATCTGGGCTCGGTGCCATCTCCCTGGCTGTTTTTCTATTTTGATTGTCTACTCTCAACTCTGATTAAATATGTCCAAAATATGATTTATGTTAACATGACAGAACCCCAAGTCAGGCTTCTTGAGTAAAAAAGGAAATTCAGAGGCTTGTACAGCTGGGAGGAATGCTGAGATGGTCACAGAATAGGAAGAGCTGCAAAAACCAGGGCCTCAGGGACTGGAACTGGGGATTCAGTGCCTGTAGGTTAGGTATCTATTTATCCATCTCGCTCCTTGCTTGTATCTGCTTACCATAACACACTGGTCAAATTCAATAGCTTTCATTGGTCCCAACTTTATATTTTCTCAGCAGAGCAAATAAGAATAAAGCAGGCTTCTTTGATACAGAATCCATATATCGATCCCAGAGAATGACTCTGGCCCAACTTGCCTCATGTGCTTACACCTTGCATCAAGGACAGTTGCCAAGGGGGACAGGATGTCATGACTGGGTCAAAGGCCCTTTAGCTGTTGGGGAGAGGGTCCTGATGCAGTCCCACTAGTATGGCCTGGAATCTTGGTAAAGAATAGATTCCTAGAGGAAGAGTTGCTCAGCAAACAAAAATAACATGTGTCTTCTATAGGACTGATTATCTTCTTACAAACCAACTTTTCCTTCTACTTTAACTATTTTTGCCAAAGGTTATCCGTTTTCCCATTTAAGAACTTACTCCAATGTCCTCACTGAGAAGGTGACTGTTGAGCAAAGGTGTGTCTGTGTTGATTTGTACCTTATTAGTGCCCTTCTAGCGATTATAAAACTTCTCCTTCGTCTCTTTTGTACCTCCATTGCTCTTCCTTCAGGAGCTGACCACAAGTCCAAGGGATGCCTAGGACTCCTAGAATGTATGTATGCCAATCTCCAGCTTCAGACTCACCTCACCCAACAACAGATGGATGTTTGGGAAAATTGACAAGCATCCATGGCACAACTGGCTCCTGGGAGGAAAAGCAAGAACTCTTCTCTCCCAGCCTTATCTTGCAATCTGTTGTTAAATCACCTGCCCTAATTCAGTAAATGAATTATGGAACAAAGTTATTGCATATGTTTTTTCCTTCTTTCTTCGAAGTATTCCCTTGGTGGAATCTGGGCATATACAGAGTGGGGCAAAAGTAGGCTTACAGTTGTTTGTATGGAAAATAATATGATAATTAGCCCTGGCTGGCATGGCTCAGTGGATTGAGCACTGGCCTGTGAACCAAAGGGTCACCAGTTCGATTCCCAGTCAGGGCACGTGCCTGGGTTGCAGGCCAGGTCCCCAGTACAGGGGTGCGTAAGAAGTGACCGCACATTGATGTTTCTCCCCTTCTCTTTCTTTCTTCCTCTCTTCCCGTCTCTAGAAATAAATAAATAAAACTTTAAAAAAAGAATAAACTCTCTGCTTCATGTGCTCACAACTATAAACCTACTTTTGCCTCACCCTGTATATTCTACCCATGGTTAGTTCACAAGTTCATATTAAGTGTTCACTGAATGCAAAGCACCAAACAAAGCACTTAGAGATACATATTACAAAAAAGACTGAATGGGTTTACTGTATAACAAGGCAGATGAGAGGTAATTCATTGCAAAACTTAGTGGTACTCTAAAGGAGTACATTGAAGGATTACAGAAATAGAGGCTGAGAGATAGAAGTTACTAGGATACATATCCTGGCTGGTTACAGCGTCATCCCTATAACCAATTTTGTGGGGTTGATCTCCAGTCAGGGCACATACAAGAATCAACCAATGAATACGTAAATAAGTGGAACAACAAATCGATATTTCTGTCTCTCCCTCTCTCTCTCGCCCCCCCTCCTCCCACCTTTGTCTATCTCTCTAAAATCAATAACTAAAATTTTTTTAGCCCTGGCTGGTGTGGCTCAGTGGATTAGGTGCCAGCCTGTGAACCAAAGGATCACTGGGTAGATTCCCAGTCTAGGGCACATGCCTGGCTTGTAGGCCAGGTCCCCAGTAGGGGGCGTGCAAGAGGCAACCACACATTTGACGTCTCCCTCTCTTTCTCCCTCCCTTCCCCCTCTCTAAAAATAAATAAATAAAATCTTAAAAAAAAAAGAACGAATGAATGCATAAATAAATGGAAAAACGAATCAATGTATCTCCCTCTCTCCCTCTCTTCCACCCTCTCTAAAATCAATAAATAAAAAAAATTTAAATGAATTTTATATGGAATAGTCAACACAATATTGAAGATGAAGCAGAAAAAAGCTGGAGAACTGATGCTACCTGACTTCAATAGTTTAAGCTACACTAATCAATACAGTGTGGTGCTCTTACTGGTATGGCTCAGTGGGTTGGCCATCGACCCACTAACCAAAAGGTCACTGGTTCAATGCCTCATCAGGGTACATGCCTGAGTTGTGGGCCTGGTCCCTGGTTGGGGGCATGTGAGAGGCAACCAATCGTTGTTTTTCTGATACATGGATGTTTCTCTCTCTTTCTCCCGTCTTTTCCCTCTCTCTAAAAATAAATAAATAAAGTCTTTTAAAAAAAAAGGCCATGTGGTATTGGTGAAGGAATAAACAAATAGGCAATGGAACAGAATAGAGAGCTCAGAAATACACATAGACCCAGGTAAATATAATCAACTATTCTTTGACAAAGGATTTAAGACAATCCAATGGAAAAAGGATAGTCTTTTCAACATATAGTTTTGAAACAACTGGACATCCACATGCAAAAAACAAACCCAAAAACAAAGCTAGACACTGACATTATACCTTTCACAGAAAGTCTTGCTCAATAAAAAGGCCTAAAAACTGATAAAATCAGTAGCAATGAATACACCTAGCACTCAAATTACAGTCCCTAAGTGTCATTTTTTTTCACTAAAAGGAAGCAGGGATTCTTGAAGAAATGCCTGTCTCCAGCCATCAGCCAGGAAAAATTCTAGATGAACCTAGAACATCTTATTCTATCAGGTAGAAAGAGGCTGTCAAAGCCTGCTAGGATTGTATCAAGAGAACTCAGGAGTCAATTTGAATAAGGCATAATTTAGTTATAAAAATACATTTCAGTGAAAGTGGATAGAAAAAGAATAAAGAGGGACATTTTATAATGGTAAAAAGGTCAGGATACACATATTGATGCAATGGAGTACTACTTAGCAATAAAAAGGAATAAACTACTGATATATACAACATGAATGAATCCCAAAAACATTACACTGAGTGAAAGAAGTCTTACAGAAAACAAAACACATCGTACAATTTAATTTATTTGAAGCTCTAGAACATGTAATATTTTTTTCAGATTTTAAGGCTTTTTAAAAAAGTTTTTAATTAAAACATTTTGTCAATTACAGTTTACATTCCATATTATTTTGTATTAGTTTCAGGTGTACAGCATAGTGATTAGACAATCTTATACTTTACAAAGTGTTTCCCCTGATTATTTCCAGTAACCAAATGACACCATACATAGTTATTACACTATTATTGGCTATATTCTCTATGCTGTACTTTACACCCCCCCGACTATTTTGTAACTACCAATCTGTACTTCTCAATCCCTTCATGTTTTTTCACTCAGTTCCCTAGTCCCTGTTCCCCCTACCTATCATCACTCTGTTCCCTGTATTTGAGTCTGTTTCCATTGTTTGTTTGGTTATATTGTTCTTTAGATCCCACATAAAAGTGAAATCATATGGTATTTGCCTTTCTTTGACTGACCTATTCCATCTCCCATAATACCTTCCAAATCCATCCATGCTATTTTAAATGGTAAGCTTTTATTCTTTTTTGATGGTCGTTTATTATTCACATTTTTATCTTTTTTTTTTTTCCTTAAAGAAGACCCTTTAACATTTCTTGTAATACTGGTTTGGTAGCTCTTTCTTGTCTGGGAAGTTCTTTATCTGTCTTTTGATTCTAAATGATAGCTTTGTTGGGTAGAGTAATCTTGGTTGTAGGTGCTTGCTTTTCATCACTTGGAATATTTCTTGCCAGTCCCTCTGGCCTGCAAAGTTTCTGTTGAGAAATCAGCTGACAGTTTTATGGGAATTCCCTTGTAGGTAACCGACTTTCCCTTGCTGCGTTTAAGATTCTCTCTTTGTCATTAACCTTTGACATTTTAATTATGGTGTGTTGTGGTGTAGGTGAGTTCATCTTGTTTGAGACTCTCTGAATTTTGTGGACTTGCATGTTTATTTCCTTCACAAGGTTAGGGAAATTTTCATCATTATTTTTTCAAGTAGGTTTTCAATTTCTTGATCTCTCTCTTCTTCTGGCACCCCCATGACACAAATGTTAGTATGCTTGAAGTTGTCTCAGAGGCTCCTTACACTCCTCATTTCTGGGGGGGTTCATTTTTCTTTTTGCTGTTCTGGTTGGGTGTTTTCTGCTTCCTTATATTCCAAATCACTGATTTTGATTCTCTGCTTCATCTACTCTACTGTTGATACCCTGTAACTTATTCTTCATTTCAGTTTGTGTATCCTTCATTTCTGACTGGTTCTTTTTTATGGTTTCTACATCCTTTTTTATGCTATTGAAGTTCTAAGTCCCTTGAAGTTCTCACTAGGTTCCTTGAGCATCCTTATAACCATTTATTTTTTAAACTCTGTATCTGGAAGTTTGCTTGCCTCCATCTCATTTAGTTCTTTTTCTGGAGATTTCTCCTATTCTTTCATTTGGGACCTGTTTCTTTGTCTCTGCATTTTGTCTCCTTCCTTATACTTGTTTCTATGTATTAGGTAGAGCTGCTACATCTCCCTGATTTGGTAGTGTCCTGTAGGGCCCAGTGGTGCAGCCTCCCCAGTCACCTGAGCTAGGTGCTCCAGACGCACCCCTGTGTGGACTGTGTGCACTGTCCTGTTGTAGTTGAGCGTTGATTGATGTTGGCATCACTGGGAAGGATTGACCCTCAGGCTGATCGACTGCGAGTATTAGCTGCAATTACAGTGGAGGAGCTGCTGGGCAGGAGCCAACCCTATGGAGCAGGAATTGCTTTAATGGGCTTTGGTGCTTGCTGAGTCTGCCCCTTGAGTGTGTTGCTCATGAAAGTGATAGGGTTGTAATTGGCATGGTCTGAAGATGACCACCAGCTGCACTGGCTCTGTGACCTCCCAAGACATACAAGGTCAGTCGCCACCTGTGCCCTGCTCGGGGCCACGTAGCAAGCTACAGAGTGATCTGCAGATGGCTGCTACTTGTGCTGGGCTTGGAGGTGCACAGAAGAGGCCAAGCTGCAAACGAAGGCCAGCTTCTGCCAGTGCTGGGCCTAGGGCCACTTAGCAAGAGATACAGGGTATGTAGAGGCCAGATGCTGCTTATTTAGGAAAGTCCAAAACATGAGGCAAGACAGGCTGTTCGTATGAAAAAGGTCACTGAAAACAACTTGAGTTAGGCCTGCAAGTTGGGTGGAGTGGAACCTCAGGGATCACCAGAACAGGGCAAACAGGGTTAGCCAGGTTGATGTTGACTCAGATATGGTGCTCGCCTGCCTGCTTGTTCTGTTTGGGGAGGGCTCAGAAAAGGACCAATGGCCTCTACCAGCACTTCTGTTTAGGGGCAAGCTGCCCCTCCAGTTCTCACCCTGATGCCAGACAACTGAGTTCCCCCCTGTATGTCCCTGGTGCCTCTCACGCTGCTGGCCCAGTGCTGGAGTTCCGAGTGAGTGAGTCTGAGTAAGCCCTGTGCTGGCCATTAAGAGGAACTCCTGGGACTCCAGCCACACTCATCTCACTCAGCCACAATCCCCACTGGTTTTTACAGCCAGGAGTTATGGAGACTCTGGTTCCTGAGACTGGAACCCTGGGCTGGGGGGCCTGCTGTAGAGCTTGGACCGCTTGTTCCTCAGGGAGGACCTCCACAGCCGAGATTTCCTTCCTAATTTTTGTCTGCCCCACGCGGGTGTGGGACCAGCTGTTTCTGCATCCCCACCCTTGCTACCAGTCTCCATGTGGCTTCCTCTTCACATCCTTAGTTGTAGGACTTCTGTTGAGCTAGATTTCAGGTGGTTCTGAAAGATGATTGTTCTGTAGTTTAGTTATAATTTTGATGTGGTTGAGGGAAGAATC